ATAACAAATGGAAGCCTCTTCTGTAGCAGGATTCAGGAGTAGTCAGAAGAGGTTTACTTATTTTGAGAGTTTCACAGTCTAATCCAATGTCATCTCTCCATCTAAATCCAAGCATCCGAAAGATACACTCTGAACATTCACAAAAACACAACAATGTAAAATACTAGTAATAGGTTTATTCCATGCTGAAAAAAAGAAGAGAGAAAAAACACAACATTTCGGCCGTGGAGCCTTCTTCAGGTGTGGTACCCAACTGAACTACTACAATGTAAAATACTAGCTATCAGTGTGCGTTTATTCAGAACTGGCCAAAAATGTCAGATAATGCTTTTCCTTTCAGTCTGAATTCTCCTCTGGACATTTAAAGAACTTGAAATAATTAAATAAAAGGATCTGGAATAACTGTTTATCTGACTGACATGATCGTCTCAGCTACTGTAGTGCTTTTATATGGGAACCTGAATGTGTGTAGAATAGGAGATAACATGGCTTCAGGGAAGAAAAATATCATATTCTAAATCCATAATCACCCTTCACATGAAAGTGCATTCTGTAAGGCAAACTGAAAAAAACAGGATCACTTTTGAAGCTTTCTACTTTTCTAGTGCAGAATATATTCTATTTTTCCCTTTCTCAAAATACAGCCAATTTTAAATCACAAAATAAGGTTAAGTGCAAAAGTACTTTTTCTATTCCAGGGCTTCTATTGTTTCTAGCTTGATTGGCACATTATAAATACAGTACTTTTAACATATCAGGAGCAAATTCTGCTCTGGATCAAAGAGGTTTGCCCTGATAATGTTTTATAAAGAGCAGACAAAAGAAAAGAAATATCTTTAATGCAATAGTGTTGCCACCTTGAAGCCTGATCTTGTCAGCATTTAGATGCTGGTCTTATTGGTGCTAGGGAAACAAATATCCATTCATTCATTCATTCATTTTCTAACTGCTTTATCCAAAACAAGGTTGTGGGGGAGTCAGAGCCTATCTTGACAGTGCAATGGGTGCAAGACAGGATACACCCTGGATGGGATGCCAGTTCATCAGGGAACACACAGACACAGACACACAGACACACTCACACCAGAGCCATTTTTTCCCAGAAGCCAATTAACCTACCAGTTTGGTCTCTGGGTTCTGTGACGAGACTAGAGCACCTTGGAGAATCCCACGCAAATATGGAGAAAATATACAAACTCCACACAGAAAGCACCTACTGTAGGTCCTGAATTGAACTCTAGTGCTGCAAAGCAGGAATGCTAACCACTACGTGCCACCCTGTGAAAGAGTGTAAAACTCTTTGATATCCAAGTCTCAAATTGGTGCTTGTTTTAAGTGAGCTTTGAAGCTATTGGCAATTAAATGTGAAAAATTTTAGGAGCATTTTAAGGATAATTACTTGTCTTGATAACAGAGTGAAATCCCTCCATGCATGTTGTAATGAATAATATTAAATACATCTATAAAAACCAGTTTCAGCTCCAATTACATTCTCATAATTACATTCTTTAACAATATGTGTTGTTTAAAGCTTTTCTTATACTAAAAAGATTTACACAACAAATGTGTGAAGTCTGCCGTTGCCAGAGGTAGTTGTATTTCCTAGTGGGATTATTTGAGTGGATTAAACCATATTCTAGCGTACCAAATAAATATTTTTTGGGTGTTTTGTTTGCAACTTCTCATCCCTACTGTCCTTATCTATGTTGAAAAAAACAGAACAGTTAAAATGAAAATCTCTTGTTCCCAAAGGGTCTCATTTCAAAATATTTTTGTCTATTTTTGTAAGATTGAGCGATATTGCTGATCATTTTGTGAAACCTGATGATGAAGTATTGAGGATCTGTTTCAGAAAATTAGAATGGCGTTTGATAATAAATATGAAACCAGTAGAAAATGAGGGGTGACATTTCAAGGAATCCTTGCTTCTGTGAAAAGCAAGTTCGATCTACAAGGAAGTACATCTTAAAAAAAGTATTTTCCAAAGAGACATAAAATAATAAAGACATTAAGAGAACAAAAAGACAGGCCATGAAAAAGAGACAAAGATCAAAAGAAACAAAAAGTATATGAACTGCACACAGAGATGATAAAGATATCACAAGTGCCAAGATCGAGATGAAAGGAAAATGGTTATTCAGGTTAAAATTATTTCAAAACAGTTGAGCACCACAGTAGTAAATTAATACTGACTGAAGACGTAACAAATCTGAGAGACAGTAATATACAGTAGTAAATGAAAAGATAATTGGTATTGGTAAATTACTTTATGTTACTGATGCCAAAACAAGTACCGTGCTTAAGGTTATGCATACTTAAAAATCAAACAAGTACCGTAATATTTAAAACCACTCCTAAAGATATTTAATGAAAACATTAAAAATGAGCAGAACATCTGAATTGAAAATTGCATGTAAAATGCCCATCCAATTTCTTGTGAACATACAGAACCATTATATCAGAGCTTAACCTCAAGATTGACTACAGTACAACAATATCATAGGAGCTATTAGAGTTCTTTGAGGACAGACGGAAAATAATTACTGGATAACAGTAGTGCTTACAGTGCCATACAATACACAACTTAAACTGCCAGGGCCGTTGATAAAGTCTAGCGTTGACTGTTAACGACTCAATATCATTCTTAAACTGAAAGCTGTAGGATCTCATGGCACAATGTGTATGTGGTCTATTAGAAGAAAAGGCAAAACCGGTTTCTTCTTTAGCTGTGAAAACAATGCTTTTCCCTCAACTGACATCTCTTTCTATTTCCCCAGAAATGCTAACCAATAGCCTTTGAAAACAGGAAAAGCAAGTAAGGAGTTTGGGGTCAGAGAAGGGCTGCTAATGAAGGTGTGTCACAACTGTACCAGGAGAAAAGTAAATAGACATAGATATAGTATAATAGAATGACATACTGTAGATATCATAAGTTGCATAAAAGATGCTAAATATAGCATGCACCATATTTAATATTTAATATGCATATGGAACACAGAAATGTTTTAATGATTCATAAAGTATAATAATCTGCTCCTCGAGACCAAGAGAGCCTATATTATGTGAAGCAATAAAGCAATTTTTACGGTTATCTTTGAAACAAGAGAACAGATCCTTTGAGAACACAGTTATCCACAATTAATGTGAGTCTCTGCTTCATCTAAAAGTTCAATTAAAATATTTTGCCTGCATATTTGTGAAAAGCCTGATCAAATAAATGCATGCTAAAGTACGTTTCATAAAATGTTTTAGCCCACCTTTCTTACCCTTTCTGAGAACTTTCTGAGAGAGTTAAATAATTAAGCATTTTAGACACTTTTCCAGAAATGTGAAAATAAAATGGTTTTGTACACAGTATTGTAAAGCAATAAAAATACTAAAGCAAAGACAAGAGTCCTGAACATGTCTACATTGAATAACCCAGCATGATATATTGCTGAGTAGCCTAAAGTGACTCCCAACAGTCTGTGATGATAAGTTGGTGAAGTACTAAAACCAAACACTGATTTAGATCCCTTTTAGTGAAAAAGCTTTGGAAAGTATGAAGACAGACATATAAAGAATTGTATGAATAATGTAATGGAAACAAAAGTACTTTAAAGAGCAAGTTCTGTTTCGCAGGCATACAGTACAAAGAAAAAATAGCAAGGTTATATACTGTATAGTACAATACTTTCATGTTATCCTACAGTATACTGTACCTATATTTGTTGACCTGGATAGGAGAAGTACAGTATATTATCCACACTTCCCATGGTATCTCTAAGATGGAAGAATGAGTCATCTACTCTAGCAATGGGGACTGGTCAGGTCTTGTCTGATTCCTATTTAACATCACCAATAATTCTGCTTCCAATGACAGACCTACATTCTGTGTTCTGTGGCAAAAAAATGACTGCATTGCCAATCTCGACACAATTTGCAAGTACTGTACAGTATACTGCCGCGCTGCTTAAAATGATGTGCTACTGTAGATCATTGAAAACCAAACAGGCATTATTTCGGATGTAAATGCATATTGCCTTATGTCAAGTGTTTCTGTGTATCTAAAAATTCTGCACATATAAATATGTAGAGTAATTACAAATGCAATATGTAGCAGAATTAATTCCTCTAGATGTTCACAGATGTATAACATGTACAGTACAAAAAGGTTCATTATCTTCCTGCAATATGATTTGAGCTTCCTGATGGTGTTTTTTCTCCATCTTCGAATTGCTCCAATCCCCTGAACGTATCTGAATTGACACATTAGCCAGGTCTGCTATTGCTTTTAGTTATATATTTCTGAATATCTATATACTGTATGAACACGAGAGATTAGGGTGTTCCATCCACCTACAGTAGCTCAATTGTTTTCTGATAGCTAATTATTTTAAAAAAATAATTCTTTCTCCATTTATCTGGATATGCCATCCAGCCATTTTTTGGAAGAGGCCAGGGTATTTGCTTCAACAACTTGTGGCAAACTCTCACAACGAAGGTTGATCTTTTGTTTTGCCATAGCACAGTCCATGTAAGAAACATGAAAATCTACATGTTAGGCTAGTCTAACTAATGTGAACCCAACCTTTGCATCATTTTACAAGAAAAACTTTCAAAACTTGCATTTATAAATATGTTGATTTCTCGATGGATAAATGTGCTATGAGTGCATCAGTTTGGTATACTTTTCTACAGTCTGTCCCTAAATTTAAGCAGCTATTTTTCCTGAGATCCACTTTGTTCTTTGTTTCATTACCAAAGGAATACATTATTTCTGAATGTGATAGTAGAGTAGTATATGTCGCACAAACTGTAAACCCACATTACCTGATAACGTAACAATGGATGAGTATTAAACATTTTTATTTATTTTTTTAAGATTACATCGTGACCCTCATGTGAAATTATGGCCAATTTGAACGTCCCACCGGGGGATACTTTCGCCGTGCAATATTGTGTTTTATTCGTTCTTCCTTTCTTATTCGGGTTGGGTAAACTGATTCTCACCTGTTTAACGAGAAACTCGGCGCGCTTGTAGTTCCAAAACCTCGCAGTAGCGTACCTGTCTGCAGTACCCTTTCCAGCGAGTTTATTTCCTCCGAGTTTGTATTGCACTCGTTGCAGTAGGAGGGTCCATGTGCACATAATGACGTCGCTTGGCAAGTCTGTCTGACTCGCTTGCTGTTTTTATCAGTTCTCTGCTGGAAAGCAAGAAAATCAGAAATCTTCAGTTCATTGGACAAAATGCAAAAATATCAAGGGAAGCTGTTTTAATCCTGGGTCTCAGTTTTGATGTTATATCACCGTTCTGCTGTTTTGGATTACGGCTAATGCTGGGATGTATACAACTGTATACTTCTGCGATTCAAGCTGTCATAACTGAAACTAGTGGATGCATGGAAAGAGTAAATAACAGTCGTTACACTGGGAATATTGGCAGGAGAAAAAATACTGACCTGCTTATTTTTTCCTGGCTTATTGCTGCCCAGCAACACAGCCACCTGACTAAGTTGGATGTCGTAATTAAGGTAAGGACGAGCAAAGAGCTGGACTGAGGGTGGTCGAGGCGAGACAGTTTGTACAGTAGGTAGCTTTACTGTATTTCAGGTTAATTTCAATACGCCAGAGTCAAGTTCAAACGAGCACAGTGACGAGCTTAACTATTTTTTTTATTGAAAGGATGTTCGTTATCAAATTTTAGTATTGTAAAGAACAGCAGCTTTTAGGTAGAACCTTTTTAGCACGTACTGTATACAATTTGTAGAGACAAATCTTTTTCCAAAAGGATTGTTGATGACAGTAGCCTTGGGATTATATAAAAGGCGAAACAGAATACAATTTTTATTTTTTTAACGTCTTTTCTGAGGAAACGTATAAAGACGTTAAAATTCAGATACCTTTATTAATTTGGACATCTATATTTTATGTAGGATAATGACCGTTTTGCAAGAGGGGAAAGTGTGTGCCAGTCACGCGCTTTTAACATACTAAATTCTAACAATTTCATTTCATTCACAACAAGAAAAAAGTGTTCTGCGATATCACCAGATCTTAACTCTTTAAGCAGTTTAAGGTTGGTTAACTTTTTTTTGTATTTTAGGACACAAACCGGAGTACTTAAAGACGAGAGAGGCATTATTAATCACACTTAAATGTGAAGATGTAATTTCTGTTGTATTTTTACCCATCATTAGATTATTGGTATTAGGTTTTCCAAAAAAGCAACAATGCAGTCCAGTGAAGTACTTTATAACAACTTTGAATTCAAAGAAATTGCACATCAAAATTTTAATTTGGGAGTAAATAGCTTTTGCTTTACCGTTCAAATCTACCAAGTTAAAATTTTAGCATGGCTTGGGCAAAAAACCCAACACTACAGTATAATAATCCTTTACACGTTTATATTTTACATGATAAAATGTCAGATATTACATTCGGGAATCATGTAACGAAACCCAGATGTGTATTTTAAAGTGTTGACATAAAATGTACGCAAACTTGTAAATAAGAAGTTCGAGATGCGATACCACAAAAGTGACAGCAACTCAGTAACTTTAGCCCTTGTTTCATAACTTCACTGTTGCCGACTCTTATTTATAAATTCGGTAGTATGCATCGAATGCATTTTTTCACGCACACTGTTGAAATTTTAAATGTTTTTTTTTAAAGAAATGAATCGAACAGTACTGTTGCCTTAAGAATATCAGTATTTTTTTAGTAGTGTCGCAGCAATGTTGTGGCTTTACGGCCCATAAAGAGGAGAATGACAGCAAAGCACAACCAATCCGTGGGTGGCGTGATGAAGTTTTCGTATCACAGTTAAGCTTTTTACCCAATGGCTGTAGCTAAGAGGTGGAGTACCGAAGAGAGTGCTACAAAAAACATGTGATTCATTTTAAAGAGACAACGCTCTTTTTGCTGAGGAGTTTATATAATAAAAACGAGTTTCATTTAGCCGTGTTGCGTATCTTGCAATAAAGGATACGTTTAACCATAAAGCATGCACGGTGATTTAAAATAACGTACTAAGATAAGAATTGGAATAATTCACTTTATGGGTGGGTAGGTGTGAACTACCCAACAACGCTATAGAGAGACTTATTTTTAAATAGGTTTAGCATTTAAAAGTATTAAACGTCACCAGTTCTTAGTCTATAGAGCAGTGTCGTACCCCGCCCCGTTCCTCCGCCCCTAAGAGTGAGCTCGGAAATTCCGCCGATGGCAATAGCTGTGTTAATTAACATTTAAAATGTTAAATGCCACAGGGAACTTAAATGCAGTTGTGTTTTAACACGCGCAGTACTCTTTGAAATATCATAAAATATCACTTAATAGATTTCAGTTGTCTATTGATCGGTCCTTGAATATAGTGTGCACGTCTCTTTCTCTCGAAGATCTCTGTTTTCCAAAGGCAAGGGTCTGTCAGCTGGTACTCAAACCAATTTCTCCTTGAAGCGTGGTTGTGTCTGCATCGTACAGTAGTTACTCCCTGTAGGCGAAGGACAGGTTGCTGTACTTAAAGGGTTCTAGCTGAGGAAGCACTAGAGAGTTTGGAAAATTGAAACGGTTTCTTCAAAGAATACAGTACGTGCTTATGTGTACTAGATATTCTTAATTCCTGTTCCTTAAAACTCTAGTATCCCATATTCCTTTTTTGTTTTTGTAACGAAAATATTTTGATAATTTTATTGGCTCACAACTATGATTGTAATTCTTTACTCATTCTTTATGTTTTAAATCAGATAACATCAATTTATTTAATAAAAAGTAAAATATAATTTGTAAGAAACCAATATCTTTTATTTATAACACTCTTAATAGAAAACATACTGTATATCTTGAGTTCATATAAAAATAACATTTGGATCTCTGTGGTTTGAATACTATATTTTATTCCAGCAAACTCAGTTTGACTGTTACCTCAGTGGGTTGGACAAAATTCAGGAAGCATTGTGTTTGCAGACTTAGTTTTAGTATGAAATTAAATAGAAATTTATCGCCAATATCACAGTCACGTACTGCATAAGAAATATAGAAATATTGAACAGTCATTCATTATTTTAATCCTTTAGGTGTATCAATGATCCAATGGAGACCAGAAGATGCCAAAGGTTTTGTGAAGAAACAGACAGTGAGAAGAGATGGGTTCAAGTGCCTCACGCTATGGAGTACCACTGTGCATTGGAAAATAGCACTCAAACTGACAGCAGCAAATTGACGACGATACTAAACAGTAGCTGTGCTCCAGACACAACAGACAACTTTAAGGATGGTTGTGGGAAAGAGCCGGAGCAGTCTCGGGCCTGCCTGAACCAGAATCAGCAGTTTATTTTCCCAGTTTCAAACAAAAATGTTAAGTTGGAGATGGATTCCAAGGAACTGTCCCAGACTGTGGCTGAGTCAATGGACTTGTACATGAATGCAGTGAGAGATGCGGACTATGGCTTTGGCCAGCAGAATGTACAAGGAGGTCAGGCCAGCCCTGGGAAACTGTATCCCAATAATGGACAACAGAGTGAGATTTATAAAAATGAGGAGCATCTGGGTTTATCAACTTTGAGCCCAAAATTGAAATCACTGGGTTCTTTAATCTCATCCTCTTACTCTGCAGTATCCAGATCGTCTAATTTGTCTTCAGCAGAGTGTCCTGCTACCATCCCAGCCAGTTCCTCTGCTATGGCCCCGCCTATCTGTTGCAATTCACAAAACTCAAACTGCACAATGTCCAGCCCCGTTAATAACGTTCTTGCATCTGCAACCAGCAGCCCTTCAAACTTTGGTAATCCTTGTACGTCGGTTAGCAGCCCCATTAATCAAACCTGTGGTGGATCTAGTCTGGTTAATATTCATACCAGAAATTCTGCAGCCTGTAGTCCAACCAACACAAGCACTGTGGGTTCCCCACTTGCTAGTCCCCTAAACATAATGAGATCCCCGATTTCCAGTCCCAACAGCATGTGCAGTGTGAAATCTCCTGCTTCATGTAGTGCTAACATGAGGTCTTCTGTATCAAGCCCTGGCAGTAACAATAATAATAACTATATGAGAGCCTCAATTTCTAGTCCTGCAGCCATCAAAAATATGACTGTCGCTAGTCCTTCTTACAGCTCTACAGGATTCCCTATCGCTAGTCCTGCTAGTGGACTGGGTCTTGTTCAGAATGACATCCACAGTCCAAATGAGAGAGACCAAGAGTTTAAATGTTTTGAATTTCCAAAAGTTGAAAAAACAGAGGGTGAAATCTATGATGTTGGCCTAGATCAGATGAATAGGGTGAAATATATAAAAAATGAACCACAACCAGGTTTGACTAACATGTGTCTGTTAACTGATAAGCCAGATGTTCCCAGTTCACCTTTTGCAACACAGATAAAAAGAGAAACAAACAAAGATGGAGCTTGTCTGAATTTTCACTATAATGGACAGCAACACCCTTTAAATCATTTCTCTGTGTCAGAAACCACCTACTTGTCCTTAAGGGATAATGTAGATGAGTACAGCCTTTCTGGGATTTTGGGACCACCTGTTCCTTCGCTGAATGGCAATTATGAACTTGATGCGTTTCCTAACAGTGTCTTGCCTAAGGGGATTAAGCAAGAGCCTAATGATGGCAGCTTTTTCCAAGAGAATAATAACATGCCAGCATCGGCTATTGTGGGTGTTAATTCAGGTGGACATTCATTTCATTACCAGATTGGAGCGCAAGGAACAATGTCTTTTTCACGGCATGATGTGAGAGACCAGTCAAACCCCCTGTTAAATCTTATTTCTCCTGTTACGGCGTTAATGGAGACATGGAAATCACGACCTGGCCTGCCACAAAGCTCTCTGTCATCCAGAGGTGAAGGCTATCCGGGCCAAAGATGCATTCCAGAAAACATGTCAAGGTAAGACAAAAAACATACGACTGTGGTCTGCTATTGTCAGTTGGTTAGAAACAAGTGGGCTTGAGCCTCAAATGATCGACATGGGTAAACTACTGTACCTTATTAGAAAATGGTACAGTATCTACTGTTCTTTTCTTATTAAGAACTACTGTACATTGCCAGATAATTTTCTTGCTGTTCATTTGAGTTCAGAGGTGAAGTCAGATTTGACTGAGTGATATTAGTTACTGTACTGTGATTGCTAGTTACTTTACTCTGTAAATTAGTATTAAGTAGTGACTACATTACTCATTAATCAAGTTTGTATGTTTTTATTTTACAAACTGAATATTACATTGAATCAATTTATAATTAAGAAACATCATAGCACATGTATTATTATCCTTTAATGTTGTTTAAAATATCATTCAAATACAGAATTAAAATGTGCAATATTGTATCATTATAAAAGAATAGTATTGGGAGTATGGTCAATTGTGGTAAGAAACAATTCTATAATAAGACTTAATTACTGTAGTGAAACCATTACATACTATTCTAACGCGCCATTGGAAGCTGTTAAAATTATGGTTGACCGCTTGATTACTCTGTGGATTTATCAAGCTGAAAACAGTTGTTTGAGCTAAACATTAATCTGAAGGTCATATGCATTACCCTATAAAGAAGTTAATGATATGTTGCTTAGACACGTTCCTACTCTATCTTTATAACCTTTTCTACTTTAGACTATGCAAATCATGATTTCACAATGAAAGTCTCAGGGAAGGACAAACCCCAATTTCCACCACTCACTGGATCCCTGGAGTATAAATAGAGGTATTTGCTAAAACTCCACTAACATTCTCAGTGCCAGTACTGTAACCCATTGGCTCATCAAAGGAGAGATTTGGTTATCTCGTCCATAGGGCAGTTGGTCATCCTTCAAATCAACTAAGTTAAAACCAGACAAATCAATAAACACTCTGTGTTTTCTTGCAGTCTCCATACAGAGGTTGGTCTCTATCATCAGAGCTGACTAAAACTTACAGGATTTTGTAAATTATTTTTTTGTCAGTGAACATAGTTGACTTGCGTATGGTAAGTGGGGCAAGTCATGGTGGTAAAGTAAGAAGCTAATAAAACATAATTCTCTTTTACGAAGTAATCTGGTACATTCAGACTTCCATAATCAATTTTGTGACAAAGTCATATGACAGATTTAGAAATATTTTAACTTATTGCACAATCTTAAATGGCTTTAAATATAAATATATAACAAACCTGCAAGATTATTTATTGGTAGCTGTTTAAAAATAAAATGTTGCTAATATTTTGTAATTATAGTCAGGTTTCTAGACTTGTGCATTGCTGTGTTTAATTTTGTAAGCCTCTATAACATGAATTGTGTTAGAAAAACCCTTTAACCTGTGAGTAACTTCTTTACTGATAAAACATTTGTTTGTTTTTTCTCAAAATTCATTTTGTGATAGACTTTGACCGTCTTACTGTAGGGTGATGTTTATATTGTAGGTGTTTATTTTATTGCTTTTTTTGCACTGGACAATGGATACTCTGGCCTGGATACTATGCTACTGTGTAGCAGAGAGAAAAATCTGCCATATCTGGGTCATGTGTAATTGTGAAACTAGACTTGTGAAAGACTGGGAATACTTAGTCACAACATAACATAAATAATGTAAATAGTATGTTGCTTACTGTAACTGAAAGTCAAAGTTTACTTCTTATCAGAAGACAGCTAACATATTAAACTAGGTTTACATAGACAGAAGTATATACAGTAAATATCAAAAGGGATGGCAAAAGACCTTGTGCAGAGCAGAAAACCTTTTTATATGACCTGTTAATCATGAGACATTTAATTGTTCGTTATTAGTCACATGTTACTTATTGCCAAACAGATTAAATTAACTGTGGGTTGCTGGAACAGCTTCAGAAAAGACAACTCCGTTTTTATTTTTATTCGTATTAAGTGAAGCCAATCTGGCAACTTATTACTTTGACACATTTATTTTTTTGAAGCCAGCCTTGGATGTCCTGGTTGCATTTTAAGTTCCAGTAGAATGTACTGAGATCCAAGAAACAAATCAAGCAGATGAAGTTCACAAAAAGTCCAAGCCAGGAAGGTCTATGTACAGTAGATTTTTCCTTGCAGTTAATGTAACCTGGGAAAACATTTGTTTATCTGAGTATGACTGAGCTTTAAAATATGAGTTTATTTTTGTTATAACTCATCATGGAAATGCTGCATTCTTTTAAAGTTTGAATGCTGAATGCTGCATAAAGTAATATTTTTCTAATCCTGTGTAGTGTAGTGTAGTGATGTCAGTTGCTTCATTGATTATTATGGAAATAACAAAAGTTCAGGAACAAGGGAAAAGGGTTCTGTTTATTACTACCTTTGTGTTTCATAAATCTTTAATTTTGACTTTATGAGCAAACTATAGTAGGATGTCCATTGGAAAGAAATTTCACCATAATAAAAATTGTGTTGTATTATTGCCAAGAAACAGCATTTAGCTTTCAGTTAAAAGGAAATCCTCCCGTTTCTGGAAGCTGCTTAACATTATTATGTGTAGTCGTTGCCACATTAGGGGTACAGTGTCTTTGAATTTTCAAACTGGGCACTGGCACTTTACTCAAATAAAAACTCAACCACAGCTGATTACAGTTAAAACTGGAACTGTAGAGCATGATATGAGCCAGTACTGTGCTACTGGATGGGATTTGTAAAGTAGAAACATATTTTGGTTTTATTCCAGGATTGTGAGCAAGCTAGAATGAACATGACCTAAATTCTGCAAAGATTACTGCAAACGTACCTTAGGAGAGTGTTAGCCTGACTTTACATAACACCATAAAGAGGTTTGAACTATAACCTTTGAAGATCAAAGAAATTCAGTTGATTTATACTATTGTAAAGAAGCAACTCTTATATTTTCTTTCAATTTAGTTGAAATGCAAATCAGCTTGTGTTGTAGAGTGATTAATCAAATACAAACTCTTTGTTAATCTCTGTAGGCAACATACAGTACATACTGTACAAGTAGTAAGATACAGAACATTGCAAATGTATTCAGACCCTTACTGTACATAGCTTTCATAGTTTGTTACTTTTAAAGCCTGCAGTCATGACACTTTGAAGTAGAATTTAATATTTGTTATACTGTAAACAACTTCACTCCAATTCAAAGCACAAAAAGTATAAAGAAGTAAATAGATAATATCAGAGAAAATTGAAAACTCTGTCTGGGAACTGTTAGTGTGGCAAACCTAAAATATTTTAGGTTCCTGAATGTTTCAAGCAAAGATTCAAACATAAAAACCAAGTTGCTTTCAAAACAGTTGAGGAATAATGTTGTATAAGGGCACAGATCAGGAGAAGGATATAAAAATATTTCAAAGTCCATTGAGCATGGCGAAGTTGATCATGAAGAAGTGAAAGGCACCCAAATCAGGCTGTCCCTCCAAACTGAGCATCCAGAGAAGTTGGAATCTGGTTAGGGATGCCACTGTCTGGTCAACATTGATTTTAAAGTCAATGTTGACCAGAACTAAAGAATTCAGTGGCTGAGATGGGAGAAATGTCTCTGGGTCAACAATACCTAAGTTACTACACAAAGGGGGCTTGTAATTGGAAAGAAACATCTCAAGTCCTACAGGTACATGGGGTTTGTAACAAAGCACCTATGCAATCCTGAAAACATGAGGCAGAATGTTTTATGGTTGGAAAAGACCAAATTTGAATGTGTTGGTATAAACTCAAAGTGTTTATTGCAAATAAAGCATACTGCCTGCACCACTCAAACAACCTAGTAGCATCCTACTGTCAGGGTGGTGCTGCATTATGTTATAGTTATGCTTTCTATCAGCAGGGTTTGGGAAGCTTGTCAAAAGTGATTTGAATATAGATGGAGCAAAGTACAGGCACATTGTAAAGGAAAACTTGCTTCAGATCTTAAATTGAGACAAAAAATACTCTTTTCAGTAGGACAGTGATCAAATGCACATGGCCGAATCTACATTGGAGTGGCTTAAGAACAAAAAGGGAAATGTTTTTGAGTGGGACAGCCATTCAATCCTGTTGAGAATCTGTGGAAATATTTGAAAACTGCTGTCCATAAGCAATCCCCAAGTAATTTGAGAGAGCTTGAGCAAATGTGTGAAGAAGAATGAGCAGTAATTGCACCAGTGTGCAAAGATAGTAGAGGCTTACCCCAAAAAACTTGCAGCTGAAATTGTTGACCATCAAAAATTGAATTTAGGGGACTGAATACTTATGCAATCAACATATTTGGTTTTTTTTCTTTAGCTTTTGAGAACAGTTACTGTAACATATCTTACCCTTAGAAGTCTTCAGTTTGAGCTTACAGATTTAGATTAAAACAGTAAACTTAAAAAAATGTAATGTGTTGGCATAATATTTTCATTTCACAAAATGGGGCATCATTGACCGACCTAGAGACTTACATACAGGCCTGTGAGTAGACAAAGCCTACCTTAGGCAGTGTGCATCTCTGGTAATCCTATTGCTTCCCTTCTTTAGTGAAGACAAGTTTTTGATACACTAGATTAAAACATCTGGAAAATGAACAATACAGAATATTATGGTAAAACATCACAGGTCTCAGAGATGTTACATAAAAAGTGAATGTTAAATATAATTGTGTTAGAAGACAGAAGAGTCTTACATGCTTTTGGTTATTTTTTTATACTCTCTTGAGACAGTGGTAGGTTAAAAGCGTCAGCTTCAGAAACATTGTTCATTCACACCTCAGCTTGGAGGCTGCCAAGTGCAGTTATCTCTAGCAGTCAGAAACAGTTCAAGGGGACAGTCTCATTTGCGCTTTCTATCCCCATATGAAATATCCATACTGCAGGGCTTTCCTTACTGGATTGAAGTTACATTTCATCAACAGGTTGATATTGGTGAATAAAATAAAAATCTTCACATCATATGTGCTTTCTCTGTATTAGCAACCATTCAGATTTTCTAATACAGT